CTTCCAGTTTCCCAGGTGCGAGTTGCAGAAGTGATTTTGGGTGACTTTTGCTTCAAGGAGTCTTTCATCATAGCACCCGTGAACAATCCACTTTTGTGTCTGGGTAGGCTCTACAAGGCTGGTTTCGAAGTGCGCAGGAGGAACAATCAGCTTGAGTTGGGTTGCGACGCTCACGGCGTGCCCGTGGACTATAGGAGGAACAGCTTGGCAGTGCAAGGGTCCATCAAGTTGTTAGAGCAAGACTCGCCGAGTAAGGAGGTTCGTGATCAGCGGGTACATGTTCGGGCCGTGACCTTGACGCCAGTGCTTTCAGATGTGCCACGTGATGGATCTTTGGTGCAGATCGGGACCAAAGTGTTCGCGAGGTGTGGGTACAGCACGACCTACATCAACACCACATTGCTTCCTTTTCGGGAACTCCCGTGGAGGAGAACGACGTTGCTCAAACGAGTTGGCAAAGAGTGGGATCTGCTTGAGTTTTGTGAGGACATCAGCCAAATGGAGAATTTCGAGGTTGCTTTGCCCAATCCCCAGGACACTGAGTTGGTCTTGACCATTGCCCATGATCATGTTGTTGCTCCTGAAGAACTTGGCTTTGATTATCGGAGTGACTCACAGCCGCTGGCCCCGAGGTCTGATGACGGTGTTCGTGATGCAGCTGGAGGTGCTCTTGATGATCAAGACCTTCAGGACCTCGGTGATGCGAAGGACATCCCAGCCGCGCCAGATGAAGCAGAGCCACCTGTAGATGATCGTCATGTGCCTTTAGATGATAACGAGGTTGAGGTGGATGGCGTCAGGTTGAGTATGGCCTCGACGCTGAAGGCTTTGCGGGCGGCTTGTGGAACATTAGGTGTAGCTACGAGGGGTAGTAAGAAGCAGTGCTTTGAGCGACTTCGGCGACACATTCAGGAGCACGCGTTGATTGCAGAGCATGAGGCTGTTGCGGCAGCCGTTGGAGACTCAGAGAGGAAGCCAAAAGGAGTGCCCAAGCCGGGTGAGCCGACACCGCAGGAGATCGCCGATCACATGATCACACATCAGCCCTACAGGGCCTGGTGTCCACATTGCGTTGCCCATCGAGGTCGACAGGACCAGCATCATGATCTAGATCATGCGCACACTTCAGAGTCGGTGGTGAGCCTGGATTTCGGGTTTTGTAAACGGCAGGAGACGGAGGAAAACCTTCTCACAGTGCTTGTGATTCACGATAGGCAGACGAAGGCCTTGCACGCGGTGCCCACTGTGAGTAAGGGAGGTCAGTCGTTGTCGCACTTAACCACTGAGCTTGTGCGTTTCCTAGCGTGGCTTGGGCATCGCGAGTTGTGCTTCAAATCGGACGGCGAGCCGGCGATCAAGGCTGTGGTGAAGAGTGCCGAGAAGGCGTGCCGACAGCTCGGCATCAAGACTAGATGTGTGACCACTCCCGTGGAGGATCACGAGGCCAACGGTGCAGTAGAGCAAGCATGGCAAAGCATCAGAGCCAACGCAGGGGTGCTGGTTGGACAAGTTGAAGAACGCTGCGGAGCCGAAGGCAAGGTGATCTTTGGAAGCCAGCATCCGTTCTACATGTGGAGTCTCATTCATGCAGCCTTTCTTCATAATCGATTTTCGGTGCAGCATTCCTTGACTCCGTTTGAGAGGGCAACTGCGAGCCAGTATGTTGGGAGGCTTTGTTGTTACGGCGAGGTGGTTCTTGGATATCTTCGAACAAGTGCGAAGGCAGGTGCTTGATGGTGCAAGGGCGTGTGGCTGGGGAAGACGACCCAAAATGACACGCACATTGTTGCCACCCCTCAGGGGCCCTTTCTCACGAGATCGGTGAGGAGATTGGTGGAACAGGACAGATTCAACCTAGATCGGTGTGGTGAAGTTACTTTGGCCCCTTGGGAGCATGGGTTTGCGAGCTTGGGTGGCAGGCTGATTGTGAACAAGAGGGTTGTGCTTCCGCAGGCCGTGGCCCCAGCACTGAACCCAATGAGTCCGCGGGATGAGCTTGGGAGTGACCCGCCTACTTCGGAGCGCGCGAGCGTCGATGACCACTTGAATGACTACGAGCCCAGCTTGCCAGGTGATCCCGTGGAGGCGGGGACGGTCCAGGCCCCGTTGATGAGTTCGAGACAGGCCAGTTCGAAGAGTGATGAGTCCATGTCATTGCCGGGAATGAGCGGAAGCTCCAGCTCTGGGTCCAGTGAGCTTGTGACTGAGGCGGCCATGCAGGCTCGTTCCGAAGCAGCAGCCGCGGAAGTGGCAACGGGCTTGTCTGAGAACCCACGTGCAGTGAAGGCTCCCAGGGTGACGCAGCGAATTTGCAGGGTTGAGAGTGCAGCCATTTGCCAGGTCGGTGACCAGTGGTATGAGCACAAGGATGAAGAGGTTGACTGGGCCTTCACGTACAAGGACCTAGATGATCTTCAGGATTATGACGAGGGTTTTGATGACGGCAGCCACGAGGAACTTGATGCGGCCGAGATCGAGTCCAAGCTTATCTTCCCAAGGACTTCGGAGCACGAGCCGTGGCTGAGCCCCACGGAGTTGAGTGAACTTGACAGGTTGGCCGATGAGTTTGAGTTGGCACGGCTTGGCGCCATGAAGGTGCTGTTGCCGATGGGTTCTGAGGAAGGGCCCGAGAAGCGTAGAGAAAATCCAAAGAAGTTGTCAACAAAGATGGTCAGGTCGTGGCACGAGAAGACCATCGTGGATCCCGAGACCAAGAAGCAGAAGCCGGTGTGGCTGAGGCGGTCACGTTATGTGGCCAGGGAACACGCCTGGTTAAGTCCAGAGAGAGAGGGGCTGTATAGCCCAGCATCCAGCTCGGCGGCGACAAAGGTGTTGCCGGCGATGTACACGTACCTGCAGGCTAGGGATGGCGATTGGGTACTAGGTTCCTTGGATGTGTCCGATGCCTTCCTCATGGTGTTGCAGGAGGAAGCCACTGAAGTTTCATATGAGGTCCCGGGCACAAAGGAGATTCGAAAGTTCATGTTGGGTCGCCTCCTTCCAGGACAAAGAGACGGGACGGCCAAGTGGCACGCCAGGCTTTCTGAGTGCCTTCGTGATGAGGTGAACGCTTCATGCTGCATTGCTTATCCGAGTATGTTTTCATGCAACACTCCACATGGTCCAGTGTATTTGCAAACACATGTTGATGACATCGAGTTCCTGGGAAAGCGTGCGGCAGTGAAGAGTGACTTCAAGCCGGCCATGGAGAAACACTTTAAGGTGTCATGCCAGATGCTTGAGCAACCTGGTGATGTTATGATGTTCCTGAAGCGCCAACATGTTCTAGGAGATGATGGATGCAGTGTTGTCATCACACCACATCCCAAGCATGTGGAGCGGTTGCTGGAGATTCTCGGGATTGAGCCGTGCATGTGCAATAAGAAGTGTCCTTTGATGCCAGGGTACACCGAGGTAGACGAGAGCACAGCGTTGGGAGCACCAGAGGCGAGCACATATCGGTCATGCATCGGCATCCTACTGTACTTGAGCGGTGGTTTGGTGGAGTCCCAGAACGCCATTAGGTTTCTTTCACAGAAGATGAGCAGTCCTTCTCTTCGAGACATGAAAATGCTTCGCCATTTGGCTATGTACTTAGGGGGCACTGTTCACCAAGGCATGTTGCTTACTGCACAAAGGGCTGGTGAAGGCTTGCTTGGTGAGCGCTACGCTTCGGAGTGGGCGTTGGAGGCCTTCTCCGATTCAGATTGGGCCTCACAGAAGGCCGATCGGAAGAGCGTGTCATCCGGGGTGATAGCAATCCAAGGTAATGTCGTGTGCACCTCGGCCCGAACTCAACGCACCATAGCGCTCAGCTCTGCTGAGGCTGAGTTGTATGCAAGTGCAGGCGTTCTTTCCGATAGTTTTCTCCTGAAGAACATTTTGTGCTTTCTGCTTGAGCTTGAAAAGTTGCCTGTGCATTTGTACATGGATTCGTCGAGTGGCAAACAAGTGTGGCAGAGATCGGGCGTGGGGAGGATCAGGCATCTCTCCTGTCGCGTTTTGTGGGTTCAGCAAGCTGTGGCCCGAGGAGATGTGGTATATCACCACATTCGTGGGGAGCACAATCCGAGCAACGTGAACACCAAACTTCTCACGAGGGTTCGCATGCTGTTCTTGATGTTCCTGTTAAAGGTCTACGACACATGGAAGTATGAGAGAGTTGGTGAGGAAGAGCATGCAGCACACATGGAAAAGAAGGCCATCCAGCTTATGATTCGCAACTTGAAGCGCCTTGAGCCTACACCCAGGGTGTCTAAGCAAATGATCAGAAGCATTCTGTTGAGCTCAGCGGTGCAGTGTGCTTTGCAGTGACGGCTACGGGACTTTTCCAGTCGAATGTGGCGTGGATGTTGGTTTTCACTTGTGTGATTGTTATGTGTAGTGCTATGTGGTGGTGCATTGGCAAGCGCAAGAACGAAGTGATGAAGGTTTGCATTGATGTTGGTGTGCAGGCTGGACTTCGCGATGATCGTGATGAGCTTCGCTTTCATGGTGATGTTTTCATTTCGGCGCGCGGACGGTCATATCACAGTCGAGGTGAATGTGAGCACATTCGTGGGCGCCAGACAACAACATATGCAAAGTGCCGTGATTGTGCAATGCGTGACGGGCGGTGATTGTGGAAGCGAGTGTGTATGAGGAGCCGTGGATGGTTCACAAACAAATTCGATTAATGGCCCATTTACGGCAGTCAATGTTTACGGCTGCCAGGGCGGATGAATGGATTCATGAATGGCTTATGCGGCGCATTTACGGTAGCCAACGTTTGCGGTTGCCAGGGCGTGCATGAAATGAGCGGGACGTTTGAATGCCCATTTACGCTGATGCAAGCTTTACGCACAGCAGGGTTTTGCAGTGAGTGCAGTGAACCGCTAGGGTTGCATGTATAGCATTGTGCATTTTGCCTTTGCGACCAGGTACATTTAATGATGTGCATAGTTGTGCCAACCTGGTAAATTAGTTTCGCGAATTCGTTTGAAGTACCTTTGTGTCCTTCCGCAGTTGCTTTGTCCACAGTTTGTCCAGCTTTTCGAAATCCATGCGCAGCCAGTCAGAGCTACATCCTGCAGGCCCGTCCTCTTCGAAAAATTGTACCTAAGTACAAAAATCCGAAAGCACGAACAAGAGCGTGACGCTAGTCCTGTGCTTAGAAAAAATGTACCTGGGCACGCTGCTTATTGTACTTACAACACGAAAAATGTACTTAGGCACGCTTGCTGTGCGCACAGAGAAGATACTATCATGTTCGCACCAGTGTGCGGCAGAAATCATAACCGAAACGACGTTTTATGCGCAGAATACCTGTGAATGCATCGGGTGCACTGGTGTGTGGAGAGGATTTGAGACACAAATGCATCCCGATTCGTGGCTTCTGGCAGTTTTCTTGCAAACAATAAGTCCGTATATACTGAAATATACACATATACGTACATGTTCACATACGTACACTGCGTATTTTTATACATAGTAACATATATATATATACACGCATGCGGCTACGTACACATTTATAGGCGCTTCACGGCGTGCATTCGTGCATGAGGGATCGCGAGCTATATATATAGTAGGGGGCCCATATATGTATAGGTGTTGCGGCATTGATTGTTGTGCGACCATGCGGCCATTCCGGCTGAATCGTTGCAATTTCCCGTAGATATGTGTGATCTTTGTCGTGTGTGCGTGTGTGGGTGTTGTCTGCTGTTTGGAGTAAATGTCGAGTGACAGTAGGTACGAAAGGTTGGCGAGTTTTTTGCTTGATGAATCCAAGACAGATCCGCCTCCCGAGCCCAAATCTGAAGTGTCGTCATCAGTAGGTGTCAAAAGAAAAATAGATGCAACGGATCCGAAAGCCTCGTCAAGCAAGACAACCGCCGGTTGTTTGGTCTCAGGCTCCGTAGCATCTCATAATGCTTGGCGGTGGAAAGTCGAACAGCATGATAGGACTTTGTTGAGCATTCCTAGGCTTCATGATGTCATGCGGAACTTGAACCAAAGCAGTGGCAGTCGCTTTGATCTTCGGTTGCCCAGGGGTAAACTGGCTTCTGCTGTGCTCCAGCATTGCATTGCGATCGTGGCTGGTGTTGCAACACAGGGTGCAAGGTTTAAGGTGGGCATCAGTACCGATCCCGGGCACAGGTGGTTCAATCCTTCGTATGGGTACGGAACAGAAGGCAAATATGAGTGTATGCTTGTCATAGCGATCGTGAAAACTATGGAGGCAGCTACGTACATCGAAGCTGCGTTGATTAGAGAGTTCCGAACCCATCCGCTTTGCGACAACGAAGCTGCCGGTGGTGAGGGTGCAATGCTAGATGCTTCGCCAGGGTTTGTGTATGTGGTACGTTCAGATTTCGGCTTCGGCAGGGGGCACGTGCACAGGGAAGCTGAAGCTTCGACGAAATAGGCCCCAAATAGGCGAATAAGCTTGGCTGTGTGCGAGGCTGTTGTGCAAACGGGTTCTGAAAGTGCTGTGCCCTGCTGCAGCTAGGCCGTTTTGCTTTGTTTTTCTTCTTTGCTAGCTTCTGTGCCATGGCGGATTCAAAAGTGGCCCGCCAGCTGCCGCTGACCGGGTTTGACACGTTTTGCGTGGCTGCCTGGGATGTGATCGCGGGGACACAGGACTCTTTCTTGTCTTAGTCTGGCCTTATTATGCTCGATCGCAGATAGCCAGCATGACACGTGCGATTCTCCTGTACTGCGTGTGTGCGAGAATTAGTTCGGACAGGAGAGCTTCTTGCTGATTAATGTCGGAGACATCAATCATGATGGGATCGAGTCCTTGGATGCCGAGAAGCGAAACAAACTGATCGCCGACAACGTGGAAGTTGTGGCTGCGTGTCCCAGCTTCTGAAAGTCCTGTCGCATCGGTGCAAATTGAGTTTTCGTGTGCTGTCGTCAATATAGCATCGCAGTGGCCGTGCCCTGCGCTGCACCACTGAGGACACTGGCAGTCTACAACCATGCCGAGAGACAATTTTCAGTGGAGGAGCTGAGCTTTTGCATCGGCAAGAAATATGGAGACACCAGGCGTCCATAAATTCTTCTTCGTCTAGGTTTTCCTTGCCCTTCGCGAGTGTTGCTGCATGTTCGTGTGCTATACTATACTGCGATATGTGCTGCCATATCTTAGGACCAGGCAAACTCGGAGATGGCACACCGGCAGGCCTCGACTTTGAAGGGCTTGGCAGCTCGGTCGCAGATCCATTCATGACTGTATGTATATACGGGCGTCCCTGCATGCGCATGCTGGTCATCTTTTTAGCTTAGCCGATCTCTGCATGTGTTGTTGTCTAGCAAGCTCGAGGCGGGCCACGTGATCCGAGAGGCAAAAAAAACTAGAAAGGCCCGGACGGAGGTCATGCGGCGGCTGAAGGCCAGCAATCAAGTTCCAACAGCTCATATGTAGAGCAACCTTTTTCTTTCGCGAGGCTATTCCCATCGACAAGCTTCTCGAGAGAAGGCCAGTGAAGAAGAACGAAGAGGATGCTCCTCCCGATGGGGAGCCAGGGACTGCAGGAGACCTGATTATCATGCTCACATCACACATCTGTGCCATCTTTGTCGGGAGTTGAGTTGGTTGTTATGTATAGCCAATTGTTGTTGTACTATCGGTCGCAGGATGTGGGCAGCCTCTGCATGTTCAGAATCCAGACGAGATGGAGACACTGCCCTGGATGCCAGGACTGCCGATGCCCTCAGCCAAAGCGCCTGCTTGCTTGGAAGGTGTTGCAGCTGAGCTTGCTGCCATGGCACCCGTGTTTCAACTTGAACCTCAAAATCAACACAAAGCAAAGTTCAAGAGTTTGCTTGTGCAGCGGAAGAACGGTGCCCCAGCTAGTATTGGTAGATGCAGTTTATAGGGAAACATGTTTCGGAAGTTGTGGTATACGCGATCATATATGCATCCTTGTCCAGCCTATGGCTCGATCGTGCTGTGCAGGAGTTGATGCCCCAGAAGGCCCAGCACCTGTTGCGGAAGCAGGCCGATTGTTTCTGATGCGGTCCGGTTCTTCTATGTTTGGGGCTTAGGGCTTCGTGCTTATACAGGGGTTGGTTATTTACGGTGCGGGTTCAAGCTTGAGAGTTTGGGGCTTCGAGCTCGGGAGCTTCAGCATTTTGGGTGTTGGGAGTTAGCTGGGGTGTGAAGGTCAGCTAGGGCGGTATGTGGCTTCTCACTGAGGTCTTGTATTATTGATATATACATATATGCTTATTATTTTACATATACGTAAATAAATAAATA